ATATGAAGTAATCTTGGTATATATTCAGTACAGGCCCCTGAGACTCTATCAGAAGAGACTCTTGGAAAGATGAGTGCACCACCGAAAAGTGAAGCACCAATTATTTCACCATATGATCTTCCCGAGGCTGATGGTTTTATTTTTGGCTTCCCAACAAGATTCGGAATGATGTCTGCCCAATTCAAAGCATTTATGGATGCAACTGTAGGTCTATGGAGAACTCAGCAACTTGCAGGAAAACCTGCTGGGATATTCTATAGCACCGGATCTCAGGGTGGCGGACAAGAGACTACAGCGTAAGTTTTTATATCAACATCATATAGCAACCTAACCTGACCTGCACCTAAATCTTTTCCAAATCAATCGCAGGTTGACTGCAATCACTCAGCTCGTTCACCACGGGATGATATTCGTTCCAATCGGATACAGCTTCGGTGCTGGCATGTTCGAGATGGAGCAAGTGAAGGGTGGAAGCCCTTATGGTGCAGGAACCTACGCCGGTGATGGATCAAGAATGCCATCCGAACTCGAGTTGGCACAAGCTTTCCACCAAGGGAAGTACATCGCCGGAATCACAAAGAAACTCAAGACAGCTGCCTGATTTCAATTTACTACAACCGCCCACTCCCACCACAATTTGTCCTTTCCATTTTTTTATTTTCTCTGGAATTTAAATTTCCTATATTTGACAAATATGCAGAAATCAATAATTCGTAATGTCTTAGTATATGCTTGTACGTGTGTCACACCTCACATTGGTCTCAATTTATGGTAAGATTGCTGGTTTCTCAAAATGCATAAACTGTCGGCAACTATGGCCTTGTTTTGTTTTGGACATTCAATAGGAAACTGCAATGTTCTGCTATATTCTCCACTTTCTAGGATATTAGAAGTGGTTGCCTATTTTGGGAAGCTTTTGTAAGACCAAATCGATAGAGATGTCTACCCATTTTCGTGTATAAAACCTATATCGACCTAACATTTTTTTTCTGGTAGAGAATTATCAAAGTTTGAACTTGATGACTGATAGGAGCCTACTATTTAGGTATATTCCAAGATACGTGTTGCATATTTTATGTATTAATTACGATTCGAAATGTTCGACGTTCTGAGGCAGCAAATGCCCTGGTTCGCTATGCTTTGACGTTGTCTACTACGTAAGAGTTTGCTTCTAACTTACCATCTTGTATTCATTACATTTGTTATTTTTGATGCCGTTTATGGCTAATGAATACAAGTTCATCTTGTATATTCAACAAATGCCTCCATAGTAGACCTCATTAAAATTTGATTTAAATTAGTCGATCAGTAGATCAAATATTGGTGATTAATTTTTAAAAAAATTGAGTCATCCTGTCATCTTTGTGGCTCGACAACTGAATCATCTATTCACATGATCCCGCAGCTATTAAGGATCTATGGCTCAACCTACTGCCAAAGGATTTCACCGCTTCTTTCTTTACATGCCCCATTGACAGTTAGTAGCAAAAACATCTCTCCTCCACTAATGTTACTTTTGGCGTTCCTTGAAATAATTTCTTTGCTTCTCTTATATGGCAATGCATTGCCCAACTTTTCCATCAGAGTCTTGCTTGAGCCAAACACTACGATGGGACGCGCACACTCCCAAAATCCAAGGAACCAACTCAAGCTCAAATTCGATGAAAATATGACATCAAGGGATGATTGTTAGGAATTCTAGGAGCAAAAAAATAATCAAAACGGGATAAATATAAAATAAGATATACATAAGATAGTAGATTTAACGTGATCTAGACTTGTTTAATTCCACAAACGAGTATAAACGTAGAGATCGGAAAGAGTACAAATACAATATATCACATATCTCAAAACTTGGCATATAAGTCAAAATCCGATGTATCACAAAACATTCTCCTATCATTCATAAAACTATCTTTACAACATAAATCTAAAAAACTACATACAATAAAAAGATGACATATCTCTAAAGTAATTCACTTTCATAATTTTAAATATTAAGATATATATTCTATTTATAAATCAATATAATGATAAATAATTTGATAAAATTAGACATCTCAACTGACACGTCGATCTAGAATATCCTTGAGAGAATTATATATATATATATCTTCGTGCAATGTAGTTAAGACACCGTTATTCTAGGCTAATTTGTTCACTGGGAGGGACGACCTTGACAATAAGGCCACTTAGGAATCAATTGAGACGTTGTAATTTTAAGACAAGTGGAGGGAAATTCATCAAGGGTTAAAAAAGGAAATAAAATGATTATACATTTTACAAAAATACATATTTTTAATAACATATTTATGATCGATTCAATGATGAGTATCGGGTATAATCTAAATACCCAAAACTCTTTTTTAACAAAAAAAAAATTGATAATATAAAAGGGTTAGAAAAATGTGATAATATCATTATACTTCACCAATGGATGACAGATAAAGGTATATCTAAGGGAGCTTTGAAGACAAGTTACTACCTCTTTATGATCAAATGAAATATATTTCAAATATGATCCAAAATGATGGGTTCAACTTAAAAAATTTCTGCTTTTAGGTGGCATAAATAGTCTTGAAATATAGCTTAATTATTGTTGTAAATATAGGATATTATTAGATCAAATTTTGGACAGCTCAAATGTAAAATGCTTGGAATTGAATTTTAATGGTGGGTCTCCCTCTTTCATTATTTCTAAACATTTTAAATTGAAATGTCTAAATGCCCTACCTTATATGATTCTATATCACATAGTGAAATCAATTAAAAATCATTATACAATTAACTGATAATTTAGTTAAGTTGGTTTATATAACCTAAAAAGTATTTGTAAAATAAGAGATATGACAAATATAGGTGAAAAATAGTAAGTCTGAAATTTTGAGGATCACATGGAAGAAGAGTACATGTAGGGATGGACCGAAGAGGGGTAGAAATTTTAAAATTATTTTTTTATGTATTTTTTATTAAAAAAAAAATTCGCCCTTAAAATTTTATAAGTTTAAGTTTGTCCCTAAAATTTTTAAAGTTTAAATTCGCCACTCAAAATAAAATATTGTGTCCGTTCCGGAATATAAAAGAACAACAATGATAAAAGGCTAGATTATTTCATTTTGGTACATATTTCATTTTATATTCACTAAAATGAATGTTAGTCTAGAGAAAAAGTGAATTTGATCATCCAAGAGTACTGATCCCAAAGCAGTGTATAAGATATGTTCTTTTTGTGCAAAAGTTGAGCCAACTAGAGTAGGAGTAAAGAAATATATATCTATATATTATTCATTTGGTTTTTCATATTAAATATACATAAATATTTAAAAAAAAACTTTCTTAGTGCATTTTATTCTTTACTTTGAAGAGAGTACAAAAGAAGATTATTAGGTTGTAGAATCTCATAAAATTGTTCATGATTAGTTTGTTATATATGTCAAGCTTCACCCCCCCTTTTTTTGATGGGGGGGTTCTTGGAAATTTTTAATATTAGTTTTGTTAATCATGAGGTAAACCAAAGTTTTTAAATTCATTTTGTTGAGTTAATTTAAGTTCAAATTATTGATTTAATTATATTTAATTTTTTTATTAGTATACAGTGATTATAAGATAGTATATGCTTAAACGACTCAATCATTTGACGATGAATGCTCAAACACTCCTTTAGATGTCGTGCTCAAACCCAAAACCTCTTGAGATAACAATTACCCCTTAACCACCCCTTCAAATATATATAACTTCTAGTGCGAATCTAGAAATATTTTTTAGGATGGACAAATATATTAACAACACATTTTTGTATATGGAAGAGATATAAATAAAATTTTAATGTAGGTATAATTTATAAAACAAATAACTAATCAAAAGAAATTTAAACATGTGTTCACCCTCAATATAGTGTACATCTGCCACCAATAGCTCTTAATGTTTATATTTTGTCAATTTGATTATTATTCTTTTGTACATCTAAATTTCACCCTTAATTTATTTTCAAATAAATTAGAGTGCTTTTAACAAAAAATAATTAAGTTATTAAAAATTTTACATACAGTGTGATTAAAAGAAATGTTGTTCTCTTTTAAGGTCATGGGTTCAAACAACAACGTCTATAAGATGTGCACGTTATTAATGACTAAAAAAATATAAATAGATATTATCTTATAATCTCTCCGGACTATATAAAAAAAAGACTAAATAGTATAGTTAAAGTCACCCTCATTTTCATAAATTAATCCAAGTATAACAAAATAACACACATAATAAGGCATTTGATTAAATATTCTAATTCTAATAGTAAATATACATGATATTTTCATGTCATGTTATAGTCATAATCTTTATAAAAGTATTTCTAATGAAGAAGACCTTAGACATACTAATTATTATGTGGGATATTTTGTTCCTAAGGTCCCCATTGAAAGTACTAAAAGAAACTTATATATAAAATAAAGTTTCATTTCTTTACCTTCCAATAGAAGCTCTTCAATGTGACCACTCAAAAAGCACAAAAGCATGACTGATAGACTTGTACATACATTTCTTCTTAAATTAAAGCTAGTAGTGGAACCTTTATTCACAGTGTTGTGGGTAACACCAAACAAAAATAAAAACCCTTTCTAAATTAATGTTGAAACTATTTTTTCCTGTTAATTCTGAATTAATATTCCTAATCCAATGAAACAACCTCTGATCTCATAATAATTATTCTTCAACTATTAAAAAACAAATTAATATATCTTATATGGTCCCCCCAACAGTGCCCAAATCCTTGCTTCATTTTGCCCGTTGTTGGTCCCCCTCTTCTTTGAAGAGTCCTTCAATTTTTTCCCTTTTGGGACTTCACCTTTCAGTGTGGACTTTCTTTCATTCATTCCACAGAAAACAACTTGGCTAGGGTTTTGATTTCCTGATAAGAACATACAACAACAGTTGCAGAGAATCTGTTCCATATATATATATATATATATATATATATATATATATATATATATATATATATATATATATGTACATATCTATCTATCAGATCCTTTTTCTCTTCCTCTTGTCGGTGTCCAGAAATAGAACGGCGAGTCGTGTGTCAACGGGAACATGCTCGATACCGGCACAAGGCATAGTCCTCGACTTCTTAGATATTGTTTAGGCCCTCCAGGGTCCTTGGATTTCTCAGGATTCTGCCATTAATGCAATGGGAAAATGCTTAATCAATTATGAAACTGTGAACTATATCTATATGTAACGTTGTGTTAGTACCTGCTGATGTTGTATGGCAGCATCGTTGTTTTTCATGTATGGGGTACGTAGAACCTGATGTAAAACAAAACAAAACAAAAACTCTTGTCAGAAAACAGTTCATGTTTTATGTTTTGTATGAAATGAAATAGCAGGTGTTGATGGGAACTTGCACTGACTTGTTCATGGAGGAATTTTATGTATTCAATGGCTTCAGAGAGCACTGATGCTGTATCAGTCTACATAGAACAATAATCAAAATTATTGATTTTAAGAAAGTAAAGCCAAAATATTTAAAAAAAAAACAAAAAAGATGATCAGAAAACTCACTTTTCCGAAAGGTGAAACCAATTGTTGGAGTGCAGTGATTCTGTCCCCCATCGTCTCTTTTCTCACCTGTGATTTTCAATCAAAGCTGTTGAATTTGAAAACAAAGGAAAAACAAATCCTGTTGTGAAAAGTTTTATCGAACTGATGGTACCTTAAAAGCTGGCATAGTTGATGGGGTTTCATTTCGGGGCCTTTTAGAAGTGGGTTCGTTTCCACTTTTCTTCACCACAGTGCTTGAGTCCCGAACTTCTGATATATTCTGCTGACATGTCAAGAAAATAAAATCTCAGCATACAACAATATTCCAAACCCTAATATAGAAAAATTTGGTAGTAAAAGATTCTTCAAACAAAGGGTTTTTGGTTTTTTAACCTTTGGTTTTTCATCGAAATTTCCCGTTGGAAATTGGGTTTGCAATGAAGGGAAAAGCCCAGGCCTAACATGATCAGCCACGGGAGCATCAGATGGGTTCCAAAAAGGAGCATTGTTTGAGAAATGTAACTGTCCATGGAGCTGCTGCTGTTGTTGTTGTTGATGATGATGATGTTTTGGTTGTGAGCTTCTCAAGAATTGTGGGACTTTGGACCATGAATTAGGCAACAATTGATCATTACTGTTCATTCCATGTTGATAAGATTGTTGATGTTGTGGTTGATTCTCAGACCCCAACAGTCCTTGCAGAATCGTCGAAGGGCTACCGTACAAGGCCGCCGTCGAATCCACCGGAAAACTCGAAGGTAAACCCTGGCAAGTCACGGTGCTATCACTCGAACTTCCATGGGGACTGAACTGAGATTGATCAAGTAAAAACCCTCTATTCATTTGCTGCTGCTGCGGATGATGGTGGTAATAGTTCGCATTTGATGTACTCAAGCTATGATCTTGAAGCATAGACCTGAAACTAGTCTCACTCTTCTCCCCACGCCTGTTCCAACAAAAGATCAAACCTTAAAAAAAACAATTTCAAAGTTATCAAAGAATCAACATTTTTTCAACTACACTTACAGCAAAGCTTGATTCCAATCCATGGCTTGAGAAGAAAGTCCCAAACCCATCATTTGCAAATCCATAGCTTGAAGCTTCTGATTGTCCTGGAAAACAACCGAACTACCCGATGAAGATGCTGTTTTGATATCAGCCATCTCAGCCGCCCAACCGAAGCTATTATTAAGCCCAGAGGATGAAGATGAAGAACCAGCAGTTCTAGATGAATCCCACCAGTTTGTTCCCGTGTTAAACTCATCTGCCATGGCTAAAAACAACAACTCAGCTGCTTCTTCCTTGTAGTTGCTGTTGTGTCTGAGATTCTCCTTGGGGTAGTTTTATGGTTGAATAAAATGATGGAAAACAATATATATAGGTGTAGATAGACACGAAGCAGCCAAAGGATTAAAAACAGGTTAATTGGTAGTACTATAGAGGAACAAAGTAACCAGGATATTGTGGTTGACATTCTGGGGATGATAAGACAAGGGGAAAGGTCATTTTGAAATTGATTTTTTTTTTCTGTTTTGGATTTTAATATTTTGGATGCTTTTTAACTTTCTGTTAAAGTTTAAATTATTTTTTAAAATAATGTATGGAATATGTTTTACAGTCTTTTTATATGGTGAAATTTTGATTTTTTGAGTATTTTAATAATTTGATTGATGAGTATATTTTTGTATCTATTACCTGGGGAAAGGTGTATTTGTAGGGTCTTGCTTTGATCAATTAGTTCATGCAAAGATTTGATTTTTGAGTGTGTCTGATAATTCAAAAGGAAATTACTTTATAGAATTTTTATGAAAAAATATATAAAATAAAAATAGTTAGGACATACTTATCACGTATTGCAGAATGAATTTAATAGATTTTGTTTTATTTTTTAAAATTATATTATCTGTTAAATTTATATTTATCAAACATTCTAATTACATCTTATATTTAATTTTACAACATATTAACTATCTAATAAACCATTGACGGAACTATGTATAGTTCCAGGGGCCACTGCCCCCACCAATTTTTTATTATTAAAAATTATATAAGGATAAATACATATTTAAACTTTTAAGTTTTGATTTATTTTGATTTTGTCCCTCCTAATTTTATTGTTAATTATATTTTCCCCCTTAAACAAGAATCCTCGCTTCGTCCTTGTCTTAGTTTTTTTTATTTTTTGAATTCTAAACTCTTATATGTAGAATCCGTAAAAGGTTATATTTTTATTTGAGCATTTAGTCTATATATTGAAAATGAAACAATAATTAAAGATGAAAGAAGATTTTATGTGATAGTAAAATCTATTAAATTAATTTCTTTAAATATGTTTTAAAATGTGACTAACTACATAAAAGCATTATTGATGTTGATCATGATCGTTTTTTCAAATAACATGTAATAAGACATATAACCTGTTTAATTATAAATTTACTATTGTCAGATAAATGTACTTTTATAATTAGATATAATATTTATTTCATTCAATTTCGTTATATCTTCGTCACATATCACTATCATGATCTCGTTATATCTTTATCACATATCACTATCATATTTACCTTACTCGTTAGGTTGCTCAAAGTGAAATCAAACAATCAAATATACTCTAATACTAATTGTCATATAATTATTACCATCTTCTCGACAAATGTTTGATAGAATGTACAATGTGGTCGTTTATAAGCTCTAAAATTCCCTTTTAATTTCGATGTGGGTTAAATGTATCATACTTCTCCGTAAAATGTGAAATGAAAAAAAAAATAGATGCATTACCCTGAATTTAATGGGAAAGAAATTAATCGATTTTAAACATTAATAATATACTTTAAACTTTTTTATTTTATTAAAAGAGAAAAATATATTTTCCTTTTTCTGAAAGTTATTTATTTGATTTTAATCTTTTGAAAAACATTTTATTTTTAATTTTATTGAAAGAGAAAAATACATTTTTCCTTTTTCTGAAAGTTATTTATTTGATTTTAATCTTTTGAAAACATTTTTTAAACTGTGATGCTTTAAAATTTTATAAATTTATTTTTATGCAAAATTTTTGGTTTTATCCTAAATTTAAAAGTGATAAATTTAATATGACTTAATTATATAATATCCACTATAAATAAATTAAAGATTTTAAAATTAATAAATAATTTAAAATTGGGTAAAGTACACAAATGATCCTCCAAATATAGGGTACTACTTTATTACGTCTCTCTACTATTAAAAGTTACGGTGCTTCGATTATAGAGTGTTGCTTTGTTGAGTCTCTCGACTATTAAAAGTTACAAAATAATCATCTGACTATCTATTATGTTCCAAACTCGCTCTTTTCGTTAAAAAAATGATGGTATTCTGAGATGAACGTTAACTTATCGACTGTGATGTGATAAAATTTGATCCTAGAATCTCAAACGACTATCATATCTTAGTCGTCATGTTAATATTCAACTTAGACAATCACCAATTTTTAACGGAAAATGACAACTGACAAGTTTGGAACATATTGAATAGTCGAGTTATCATTTTGTAACTTTTAATAGCTGACAGACTTAATAAAGCAACATTATATAGTTGGAGGATCATTTTGTAACTTTTATTAGTCGAGTGACTTAATAAAGTAATACTCTATAGTCTGTGACCATTTGTGTACTTTACCCTTTAAAATTTATAAGGAAAAACAGTTGCAATGAAATTATCATAACTCATGATTTAAATTTAATTGGGCTAAGATCTAATTTGATGCCTTGATATTTATTTCAATCTCATCAAAGTTGGCACCATTATGTTTGTAGCTACATTTGAACTAATGGTCATAGTACCACATATATATGAACTAATGGTCATAGTACCACATATATATGAACTAATGGTCATAGTACCACACATATATATATATATTATATATATATATATATTATATATATATATATATATATTACATTCAAATTCTTCAAACCTAAGACAACCTAAGATATTGGCTACATTACAACAACATAGGCACAAACAGACCAATCAAATCACTAAATATAGTATGTATTTTTCACTATCATTGTCTAACACCCATTATTGTTGAGTTTCTCTTCTCTCCTCGTAGGGATTACTTCCCATTACAGACGTACATATGTAGACTGCATATGAAGACTGTTCAACTATGTATTTATTTATTTATTTATTTATTTATACATGCATTGCATTTTATCTTTATTTTAAATTTTTTGACTGTTAGAGGTCTTCCACGGAAGCTGCTCTCAACCTGGCGTTGGGGGTAGCCTACTACCCTACCTCCCTCTTACCCCATTGCATATGAGAATAGGGTTTTGTTGTTGTTATTGTCTTGTTTATAATTCAAAAAAAATGAAAATTAAACCCCCGGTTATTATCCTTAAGCCAAATCGATCAATGTCTTGAGATTGTACACTCAATCTCAACAAGTGCAACAACCTTCCCTAAATTAAATATTAACTGAAATAAGTTTAATTATCGAGTATTTAAATATATTTGAACATATAATATATTTTAATTTAAAGTTTAATTACCTTACTCTTACTCTTATTGCTATTAAGGATATTATAAAGATACGAGGGTTTATACTAACTTCAAGGTTATAAGGGTATGTTTCAAAAGTTGTTTTATGATTGAATTTTGGTGTAGTTACATAATTAGAGTGTATTTAGACGATCATTATAATTTATGGATTATGTTAAATTATATGTAATTGAAGGTCCTAATTGCACTATTCAATTCTTAGAGAGAGGTGTGGGAATTGATTTATAATATTATTTTAAAATATAGCTTTATGCAACTATAAATTACATTTTGTACTATCAAGCATGATATAAAAAATTGGGTAGTATCATGTTACACAACGTAAAAATCTTATAATTTTATATGGTTTAGGACTTTTGGATGAGAGAAAATATATGATTAACATTAACTGTGAGAAATGAGAAGATATTCACTCAGAAAAAAACAATGAATCAATCTTAATTATATATTTTCACTCATTCAATAGTTCTAAATTTGTGTAAAACTAAAAGTTTTATATTATGCAAATAGATCCTAACCCGTAAAAAATTATAATATAATTACATTATGTTAAATGGTTATTTCTAGATGTCACAGATTCGAATACCAATAACTATAAAGGTTTTTGAACTTTCATTGCAAAGTTGTTGAGAATACTTTCAGTGTTAGCCACGTGGCTTGTGTTATTATCCCATCGACTGATAATTTTGTCGGTACATGTCAACGAAGATATTTTGTGCAAGGTCGAAGACTTTAGGTCCTGATTTTATCGTATAAAATACATTATTCTAATCGTATTGGTTGTAATTATATTTGTAACACTTATTTAATGCCAAATATTATTAATAAAATATTTAGAGAAAAAACAGTAAAATGTGAAAATAGAGAAAAATGGTGATTGAGAGATGGCAGGAGGGAAGGAAAGACAAAAGGAAGACTCGAGAAAAGAAGAGTAATTGTGGTATGCGACGGAAGTATATTTTTTTTTTGAATTAATTAATGATATCTGATTTACTGATTGATTAATTTAAATTAGATATTATAGAAATGAGGGTGACCTTCTCAATCAAGTTTGCTCTATTCGCAAATATCATGATTTGAATATTTAAATTTATTTAAGAAATTCAGTATCTCATCCTACTAGACCAATTAATTATTGTTGACATAGAATTTTATATTAAAGGATGTAAACTTATACTTTTAAAATTTTAAAAAGATAAATTCGAATTTATAAAAATTTAATATGAATATTAACCTATTTTTAATAAATTATAAATAAAAATCTAAAATATATAATATTTTTAAGATTTTAAGGGATGGTTGCTTCACTTATCCCCTCAACCCATCCTGATAAGTCTTCCTTAAACATAATATTAATATTAATTTACGAAAGCGTACGTCATGTATTCCTTCATATGACCTTTGAAATACTTTATGTCAACGAGTAGGGTCCACGCGGCGTGCGCGCGTGCGTGGACAAAAGGACACTCTCTCAGAGTCATATCCCCGAAAATGACCATTTTTATTCTTCCCTTCTCCTTCCTAATCATTTGCCCCCACCTTCATCTCTTGCCTTGTGTACATTTCACGTACTCATCAATTCTATTATTTTCTTCTCCTTTACCTCTTATGGGTAAATTACAAATTTAGTAATTGAAATCTACACTTTCTACTATTTTACTCACTGCACTTTAATTTTTTTCAATTTTCTCACTATACTTTAAATTTTTTCAATTTTCTCACTGTACTTTAAATTTTTTCAATTTTCTTACTGAGCTTAATACCTTGGATTTTTGTCACTCGGTCGTTAAATAGTTAATGACACTAAAATAGATTGTTA